ATCTCTTTGATCGTTTTATATTGTTCACATTTCAGATGTATATGGAGATGAGGTCTATGAATTTTAAGTTTCTCATATTGAAATTGTGCAAAAACAAAAAGAAAAATAGCATGTACCAATTATTAAAGAGAATTTATATACTTTAGGTTAAAAACTAAAAGGTCTTTGTCTGTACCAATTGATATATTATAAAAAAAAACAAAAAACTGGATGCAGAGATATGGAGATGGCCCTGAGAATGAACTACCCCTTGAAGTAAATGGAGATTACACAAGAGATATTGGTTACTTGAAAATTGCAGAATACACAGTGAATGTGACAAATTGCAACTCACATAACAATCTTCTTAACAATGTTTGGTACCAACCTGAAGAAGTATTCCCTGTATTTGGCACTCCTGAGGATAGACAACATATCTTTTGGGTCCCTGTTGACCCTCGTTATTATGCAATTGCTAAGAAACTCGAGGTAATTTTTAAAATAATTAATAGTGTAATATTTAGAGCTGTCAATATGAGTGAGTCAGTACAGTAGACAAAAAAGTAATTTTTTTTTTGATGTGTCACTAGGGTTTGAAACTTGTGGGGTGCTTAAACGCAACGACATGTTTGAGTCATCCACCCAAAGTAACAAGAGTAGCTAGAGGAAGCAGTGCAAGCATATACTTAGATAATGCAGCCTATAGAAGTTTTATGTACAACAAGTTTGATGTTAGTCCTGTTGAAATGGAAAGTGCTGCTGTGGCTCTCATTTGTTACCAACAGAAGGTACCTTACATCGTTATCCGTGCCCTCTCCGACATGGCCGGAGGTGGCACTTCAGAGTCCAACGAGGCATCTACCTTCATCACCCTTGCTGCGACCAACTCCGTTGAAGTCACAGTCCAATTCATCAACCAATTGGCTACCAAAAAATTATATCAAGATGCTTGATGTCTATTATTAGTATGTTCAGTTTTTCGAATTTGTCTCAAAATAAGCAAAAATCGACAAGAGATTTGTTCCGATCAAGTATAACTTATTTGTGATTTTTCAAATTTCATTAAAAGTATATACTATCCACTTGACTTGTATTCGACAATAATAGAAATTAATAGTAATTAATTAATTCAACTAGGAAATAAAAGATATATGCTCCATAGATGGAAACAAACTCATAAGAAAGAAAAATCTTTAGGAGAAATTGTCTAAAAAGTTATGGTCAAAGTATTATTCAAATGGTGGCTTTACGTTTTGAGAAAAGTAGTTTGTAGGAATAAATTTATTTTATAGAGGCTGCGCTTAAATAAAAAGAGAGAGAGAAAAAACATACGAAATCACGTGATATTATTTTATTAGAAAATAGAGAGAAGAAAAAGGAGTAAATGAATTTTATAATAAGTAAATGTCGTTTAGTGATCATATGATAAAAGATAAAATGATTATGTATTATGGGGCAAATCAAGTCAAATGGGGTTTAGGGTGAGATCCTAGCAACTACGGGTTATTTTGAAGTTCAAAAAAGTAGTGAATAAGATTTATTAGGATAAACTATGTAATTATATTATTATTTATGTTTAAAAAAGAATGATTATATTTTCTTTTAATGTGTTTCAAAAAAAATGATTCATTTCATTTTTTTGTATACTTTAACTTTAATTTTCCACGTGGTATGTTTATGACCACAAGATTAAAAGGCATTTTGATACATTTTACATACTTTAATATAAAACTACAAAATTAAAAAGTATTCTTTCTTTTCTTAAACTCCGTTTCAAATCAAACTAGGTTATTCTTTTTTAAACAGAAGAAATAATAAAAAATATATCAATTCAATAATCATTGTTTGATGAGAATCCATATTTGATCGTGTTGTTGGTTCAATGAGAAGGAAGGGAAATATTAAAGGCTTTTTTAACAAAGGATTCCATGCTTTTTCGCCTCTACAAAGTCAAATGAAAAGATATCAATCGATAAAATATTATTTCCATTCTCCATTATTTTAGAGTTATAAGTCTCTCTTTTCTTTTTTTTTTATTTGAAATTATAAGAATTTTGACTAACATTTTATAATTTATATTTTTGATTCTTATTAATATAAAAAAATTATAATCTATAATAGTTTTTGTATTGATTTTGAATATCTAAATATTTTATTTAGAATATCGAATTAATATAATCTAATTTAACTTTAAATTAAAAAACGCAATATGATAATTAAAAGTAAACGGAGAAAATATATTTACCCAAATTCCAACATTTCAAATCAAAAATTTGAAACCGTAAAAGATAAGAATCCTCTCACTTGATTTGTTCACCTTTGATCATTAGATTATTGCAAAATAAAGGGAGAAAGGCCTGAAATATATTTAAATTTTAATCAAAATTATTGTAACAATTCTAAATTTTGAGCAGGACTTACTTTTCGTACACTATTAATACTATTATATTCTAAAAATATATAAGTGTCCAGTTAAACAAGTATGGAAGATACAAATTAAAGTTAATTCATTTCAACAATGATAAATAAATGTTTGTGAAGTTAAAATACTAAAATAAAATTTGACTATCAAATTTATAGATTTTATTTCTCAGTAATATATTAAAAGCCCCAAAATATTTAGAGGAATTCATATTTAAATTTTGGGACTATTTAGGACCGATTTGATAGGAGGTATTAATCAAAATAATTCATGGATTAAAATTTAATTCAATAAAAATATTACTTGATTACTTTATTTAACCTAATACATGGATTAGTTATACCTCATACAAATTACAAGGTCTTTTAAATCCTTAGAAAGTGAGGGATACCTAATCCAAGATTTAACAATCCTTGGATAAGACCTCCCTAAATGACTAAACTAATCCCAAATCCTTTTTTCTTTTCTTTTCTTTTTTTTTGTAATTTAATGCTCTTATCTAATTTATATGAGAATATTTATAAATATTCTTTTAAATTCTTCAAATTCGTTCCATGTAATTTGATGGTTTCACAAATTCATATTTTTTTCTCCATTTTTGATTTGTTGGATTGGGTTTTTCATTCTTTTTAGGAAAAATTACTTATATACACATCTTTACTTACCTTATTTTCTATTATTTTCTACCATTTTAAAATATTACAAAGTCCCTTATTTTTTTCCAAATCTAAATTCTTCTGCATACATAATTATTCCAAGCTCAAGCTCACGTTTTCTCATTCCTTTAATTCCTACCTACTTTCACTCCAACAATCTTATCAGTTATAACATTCATCTCAATTTGAAGTTCAAGAGATTTCTCTCTCCTGTCAATCAAATATTCAAATTCCAATAATCAGATTCATAGACCAACAAAAAATGAGAATGCAATAGCTTTGAAGAATTAATGCAGAAGAGTTGTTGGCTGTGGAAAGAGGCGGCTGCTACCATTTTGCTATCAAGTTGCTGTCACTATTACTTGTAACATGTTTACTTTTCATCGAGTAGTTATATGTTATAGTGATCTAAATTATGTAAGGCGACAACTTAAGGAAGCGATTGTATGAATGATATAGCGATGAAATAAATTTATCGAATTTCAAAAATCTTTTCAAGAACACATACATAAAACATTATAGTTGTAGACAAATTCATGAGTGACACCATTGTTGAAAGTGAAGAAAAACTATGGGAAATGATACAAAGCAAAAGAGAAAGCATAGAAGAATTTCTTCATCATTGTTTTTGCTTTCACCTACATGATTTATTAGGGTAATTATGTAAGAATTATCTTATTTTCTTTTTAGTCTGTTTCAAAAAGAATGATTTATTTTTTTTGGCAATATTTTAACTATAATTTTCCATGTGACATGTTTAAGACCACAAGATTGAAGGGTATTTTGATACATTTTATATAACTTTAATTTAAAATCACAAAATTAATTTTTTTTTTCTTTCTTAAACTCCATTTCAAGTCAAACTAAATTATTCATTCTTAAACGGAGAGAGTAATAAAAAAAATATTTCAATTCTTTAATTATTGTTTGATGAGAATCCATATTTGATTGTGTTGTTGGTTCAATAAGAAGAAAGGGAAATTTTAAAGCCTTTTTAACAAATGATTCCATGCTTTTTTCCCTCTACAAAATTTTTTAAAATTTTATTGATATGTAAAAAATTATAATTTATAGTAGTTTTTGTATTGATTTTGAATATTTAAATATTTTGTTCAAAATATCGAATTAATATAATCTAATTTAACTTCAAATCAAAAAATGTAACATGACAATAAAAAGTGGACGAAAAAATATATTACCCAAATTTCAACATTTCAAATCAAATTTGAAACCATAAAAAATAAGAATCCTTTCACTTGAATTGATTTGTTCATTGTTGATCGTTAGATTATAATAAAATAAAGGGAGAAAGGCCTGAAATATATATAAATTTTGATCGAAATTATTGTAATAATTTTAAATTTTGGGCAGGACTTACTTCTCATACACTAGTACTAGTATATTTTAAAGATATATAAGTATCCAGTTGAACAAGTACGGAACACTAAAACTAAAGTTAATTCCAACAATGATGGCAAATAATCGAAGCTAATTATAAAAACTCGATGTAATATTCTTGAACGTTGGGTAAAAGAAGATGTGGTTCTATTGATTTTCTTTTTCTTTATCACAACGTGAAAGTAGTATATAATTGAGCAAATTTATGTATAGCAAATAAAATATTGTTAATTTTATGTTATAGCGAACTTGTAAAATTGCACTCTGTGGCAAAATTATTGTTTGCTATGAATATTTCTTTTTGTATATTCACTAGTCCTTCCTTTTTTTTTAAATAAATTTTTTGATTGTTTAAAAAATTAATAAAATGACGCTAATTTCATTGTATAAAAAAGGAAAAAAATCCCTGAAGTCACGCGCAGTAACTCCAAATGTATAAATATTTATGTAATCCATATAGATACATTGTTGTACCACTAGTAAAGCAATAATTATTGATATCATACTTATACAAACAAATTCTAATGTATAATTGTTACATAGTATGTATAATGAAATATAAACAATTTATGAATGTGTATAAATGTGAGCAAATGTGTATAATTAAAGGAACATTATACAGTAACTACTAATATATACATTTATACACCCATAATTGTATAAGAAAGCAGTTGAAGAGATGAATTAACAAAAAAAAAAATATTTAACAATCAAACTGAAACAACACAATCTTTCAAATTCATGACCTATGATGCTTCTCCTACATTAAACACAAATATGAAAATCAAAAAAGTCAAAACATATGTAATTCAAATAGAGCGATTCTATGAATTCCGAAAGCAAAAGGTAAAAGGGCACAAGGAGGACAAAAAGTCAAGGTAATACTATTGATATTATACTTATACAAACAAATTCAAAATGTATATTTGTTACATAGTATGTATAGTGAATAAATCAATTTATGTATGAGTATAATGTGAGCAAATTTGTATAATTAAATGAACATTACACAATTACTACTAATATTATACATTTATATAACCACAATTGTATAAGCAAGCAGTAGAAGATATGAATGATACAAAAATACAAAAATAAAATAAAATTGTAACATATACATAAATGATTATACATATACCTTAACATGCTCCAATGACCCAGAATCGTTGTGTTCTATATAAACGTCAGTTTTATCTTTCGTTTTCTTACTTGACCCAGCAACAACATCAGCCTTATCTTTGATACCTCCATTCAGAAATCTGATTGGGTCATTCCTCAATTTGGATCTGATCTCTTGCATTGTATTCGATTTGGACATTGAACCTGAAGTCTCCCCAAAATTCTGAGTTAGACCCAAGGAAAACGATAGGTATTCAACATTATTTTCGACATTCAAATGATATACCTCTTGTGAATCTCTTCGATGGATATTGAGCATCTATTGTTTGAACCCAAAATCTATATGAATTATGAACTGATGTGAAAAAGTAGTTTGAGAAAAATGAAAAAAATTATCAAAAATTGATAGATTCAGAAGAGTTTTTGGTGGTACCTAAGATTTTAGAAATAATTTTGAAAAACGATGAAGACATGCTGGAGAAATTTAAATTT